CCTGTGTTTTGGATAGCATGCCTCTCTTTGTAAGTAATATTAAAGATATTTAAAGCATGGCTCTTGGTACTCACCCTCCCATATCTGTTGGCATAGGATCCAGTCAGCAAGGAATGGAAAACTATGATTGTCTCATCCAAATCCCAGATGAATACCCGCTACAAAAGAAGAACCACACCAATGGGTCTCTGTCTTCAATGAGAAATCTCTTTCTTTCACTAATCTCAACATTATACTCATTGCCTTCAAGTCAGAACTAACTCCTAGCAGACCCTCCAATGAGTTTCAGATGTTACTGATCTTATAGGAGATTGCCCATTTTTCTCCTGTAGAGCCACTGTTGGATTTGAACTGCTTGATTGATCTGGGGATAACAGTGCAATTCCCTACAACCTATGCTAGGGAAAAAAAGGGGGGGGGGTGGATAATCTGGATTTTTTAAAAAAAACAATTGTACAGAAGCAACTGTTTGAAAAAGTATTTCCCAGCTTTTTTCCCCAGATGCTATCTCAGAAAGAGACAAAAAGATAATTATATTAGTGATAGCACTATATACACAAAAAAGAGGATAAAAACTTATCATTCTACTTCCATATGAGACTTGATCTTAGTTATGAAGAAATTAAGTATTTTTTTAAGTTTTATGTTCATAACTACTGAAACAGAGATCAAAACTAAAACCTTACTGCTGTGAAGTGGGAACTGACTCACTACTGACCCTCTTAAGGGTTTTCTAAAAAGAGGCTGTAAATCAAATAAGAGGCGACTGCCTATCTTTTTCTCCCTTGGAGCTGCTGGTGGATAACAGCAATAAACGAAAAATAATTAAATTGTTCTTTTCCTCTTTTTTTTGACGTCTATTCACTAGAAAGTGTGAAAAGAACTAATTGTATATTTTATCCTTAGCCAAGTATGACCAAGTTTTACATTAAATACTAACATTCTGCATCATCTCTTCACCTTCTTAGGTTACCTATTGAGCTGTTATGTGGATCTAAAGTAGATGCATTTTTGTCAGGTTTTTAACGTCTTCAGCTTATAGATATTTGATAATTTAAGCAGACACCTCACACATGCTCTCAGGCACAGTCTTGGTGTACTTAGAATCAAAGTGCAAAGAACACACTTTCAAGAGGTCTTTGACATATCACAGACATCCTTCCAGGCCTGCTTTCGTCCTCCATCTGCTCCCGCTCCCACCAGTACATACTCACACACACAGATTCTGTTGGAAAAGAAAATCATCTTGTTGGCCAAAATAATCATGTTTTCCACCATCAGATTTCATTTTGGCAAAAAGGAGAAACCTAATTGCAGTGGATTCAAGGCTATGAAATCCACTGCCCTTTAAGGACTTATTTAATCCCTCCTGCTTTTGAACTCCACCAAAACATGCCTCACAAGGTGATTACAATTTCAGTTTAGATCATTTCAGGTTTTCTTTCTCAATCCACACAAGTGTGTCTTTAATTTCAAGTGGGTTTTATTCGGTGGTTTTAGTACTACATTTACTTAATTGAAGTCATAATTGCATAGAGTACAGATAAAAAGAATTTCTGTCAAGCAGAATTAGGTAATTTACTACATTTTCTTAGAGATCAATAAGATAATGCTTCGCCATAGAGTTAATATGAAAACTAATAAGTTAAAATAATTGCTTCACTATATAATTAATATAAAAAGAAGGGAAATACTCTACTTATAAAGTAGAAGACAAATAGTAACAAAAGCGTCTGTATAACTTAACAATTGCCATTTACATCTCATTTTTTTTTCATTCTCATTGTTGAATCAGACCTATTGACCCTTCAGTGGGTTTTGCAGGTTGTAAAACACATGAGAAAAGCCTGCCTGTTGCTCTCCTGAGAGCAGCTGGTAAATTTCAAATTTTAATCACCAGAAAGGCATAGTCTTTGGGTTAGCCACACAATTCCCTAAGGAATAGGCTACTAGCGTCCCCTGCCATCTATGTGTTGCTATGTGCAACTCACAGCTGATCTTCCATAGTGTTTTCATAGGCAGTAAATCGTAGGGGGGCAGATTGTCCACCTTTCTCCTGCTGAGCCCCTGGTGGGTTTGAACTGCTGCCTTCAGGTTGGCAGTGCAGCTCCTTACCACTAGGCCACCAGAACACCCTATCAAACTCCCACTGAGTTGCCAAGACACCTTGTTATTTACCTGGGGTGTTGGAAATGACATACCTCAAGATCAGAATCTGGAGGAGGGGAGGGATTATTGTTTCTTCGGCCTCGTCCACGTGATTTCCCATCTGAACCCCGACGCAATCGATCAGAATCTGAATCTTTTATAGGTGTTGATGGACTGTGAATTGTACTGTACTCTGTAGAAAAAAAAAGAAAATACTTTCAACACAGAGTTCTACCACCACGGGACTAAGATAAACCTTGTTTAATTCAGAGAGAAGTTTGAAGGATAAAACACATTTCGTTCTGCTTATATTCTACACTGTCTTTAACTGGCATTGGTAAATTATGAGGTACCTAATTCCAACATTTGTTTGGGGGGAAAAAGGGTGATGAGGAACAACCAAAATTTAATAATGAGTAGACAACAATATGCTGTACTACACTGTGACTGCTGAGCATTTTCCATATGGTTTTCTGGGATCATGCAATTCAGACTCCAACTATATCCTCACTCCTTTCTGTCTTTCAAATTCCAAATGGTGCCTGGTCACGGTGAGAGATTCCTTCATATATATATCTCAGCAGCCACTCTCCCAACTAGGAAAAGGCTCCCGTTTATGGAAAGAAATAAATAGAACTACCAGGTCACAGGCAGATAACAATTTTTTTTCCTTGCCTTGCTCTCACATAAAATGAGGTAGGAAAAAAAATAACTGAAGTGTATAACTAACAGTGGATAAGTTATAGATGATTGAGACCTCTTAAAAATGAAATCTTTATGTGCATCAGAAAACTTATTTAAAAGAGTACAAAGAGACTTACAGACTAGGAAAAATTTTTTTACAATGATATATTATGACAAGAGATTCATCTCTTAAAATTGATACAAACCTCCAAAATCCCAGCAAGGAAAAGACAAAAACCCAAGTACAAAACTGAAAGAGGATATGAAAATTTCTTTCATGAAAGAAGACTTTCAGATGACCAACAAGAACATAAAGAAATATTTAAGATCATCAGCAATTACAGAGACGCAAATCAAAACAACACTAAGATATCATCTTATCCCAGCAACAACAGCAATATTCCAAGAATAGCAAATAACAAATGCTGGCAAGGATGTGTATGAGTATGGTTGTTGTTGTTGTTATGTGCTATCAAATCACCTGCAACTCTAAGCGACCCTATGTACAATCGCTCTAAATCCTGCCCAATTCAGAGCCAGTCTCACTGACTCAGGTACCCCAGTTACTCTATCAGTCCATCTCATCTAGGGTCTTCCTCTCCTGCGTTATCCCTTCACCCTTCCAAGCATGATATCCTTCTCCAAGGACTGGTCCTTCTTGGCCACATGCCAAAAATATGTATTAAGCATCACATAAAAGTGATCAAGAATTAGTGAAATACTGTAAAATATGGATGGATATGGTACAAAATAATGATGAGTGAAATAAGCCAGACACAAAAAGACAGTTATAGTATAAGATTACTCTTATAAAAAGCTAAGGAAAGGTTCACACATAGAATCAATCTTGAAGGAGTAATGGGGATGGAAGAGGAGGGGGAAGTGAGTAAAAAATGAATAGATAAGTTGGAAGGAGGGAAAGGCAATAAACAGTAAGAGGTTAATTGTTGTTGCATGCTGTCCAGTCGGAACCAATCCATAGCTGACCCTCCACAGGGTTTTTACAGGCAGTTAATTACATGGAAGTAGATTGTCCATTCTTCTTCTGTGGAGCAGCTGGTGGATTTGAACTATGGGCCTAATCAACAGGCTGATTAAACACTATAATTTATGAATTATGTTATTCAATGGGAATGAATTTTATACAATAAAATACATGTGAATGACTATATGAAAACCCAATATGGGAAAAAAATAAGGGAGAAAGTGACAGGAATGGTACACAGCATAATCTCTTTCTGTGTCTAAATCTCCTTGAACCAAAGTTCTAAAACCAGGTGGAAAACTAAAATTACAAAGATAAATCAAATGTAAAAACTACAGAGATAGAAACTACTCAGCTTAATTCATATATCAAACAATTTCCACCTCCCAAATTCTAGATGTACAAGGGTACTTGCTCCCTCCTCAGAGTCCTTTCCTCCTTGGAAGCTTTTCTTAGATGTCTCTACTAGATATGAGTCAGAATTGGTCAACCTAACAAGAATAGGGAGCTCTGGTGGCCTAGTGCTAAGGAACTGTGCTACAATCCCAAAGGCACGCAGTTCAACTCTACCAACTACTCAATGGGAGAAGGATGGACAATCTCCTCTTGTACAATTTACTGTGTCTCTGAAAACCTACCTGTGGGTCAGCTATAGCTTAGTTCCAATTCAAAGGCACAGATCAACAAGAAGAATAGGGTAGCCATTTGGCATCATTATTCACATTCTGATGTTGAAATTACACTTGATCAGGTAGAAGATTATGAAGAACAATTAAAGACCTGGAGCGCTGATTAACTTATCAGACTTCAACTTTACCAACAAGGACATCCATGTGTCCAACTAGTGATCTTAGTTTAACTTCCAGGATAAGTCCTTCTCCAAAATTCTGAGTCAAGAATTGATAGGAATTTGACAGAATAAATTTTGTTCCTAAATAATATGAAACCATTTTATATCCCTGCCTAACCTCAGAACTTAAATCGTTTCCTACCACTATTAAATGAAACTTTGTGCCTGACCTCTATCATAACAAACACAAAGGCATAGCCTCTCATAAAATCTTCACACTCTCATGAAATCTTCACACTCAGAAACCACCATACAGATTTATAAGCATAACAGTCAATGTAGTCAGAAGGATCAAAACAAATCTACTTGTTGTTTTAGTGTAGCTAGTTATCTGGGATACATTCTGAGCTATTGCCTCTCATAGAACTGTTGGAGCTCAGTGCTGGCTGGTCAACATCCAGCATTCTCTAAAGCACATTAGAAGTGCCTTCTTGCAGAGGCAAATTACTCTGGAATATTCTCCTAAAGATGCTTCAAAGCCAACAAATCTATCTCATGTTGTCAGACTTACCTGAGGATCCAAATGAGTATATTTTTAATAAGTTAAGTGGAATCCAAGAGTCCTGGGTGTTCATTGGCCAAGCATTTGACTGCTAACCAAAAGGTTCATGGCTTGAGTTTACCAGCTTCTCCAGGGAGAAAGATGAGCAACCTGCTTCTATAACGATTTTCGGCCTCAGAAACCCTACAGGGCAGATCTACTCTGTTGTAGGCTTCATAAAACTTGACTTATTAACTAAATGAGCACATTGACTAAATAACTAGGCTTGGTTTGGGGTTTTGAAAGTGGCCTCAGAATAACTTTTTGAAAAGTTCTCTTCACTTACCTTTTTTTTTAAAAAAAAAAAATATTTCATTCAATAGCTCTATGCAGAATCTGACACAAAACACACATCAACATTTTTAAAAAAAATATTCTGATTTATTTACAAAGTTTGAATACATTGTTTTTCACAAATGAACCTTCCAATTTCCTTCACTCCTCCCACCCGTCAAATTGTGCAACTCTATGATTAACAGCTTATCCCTCCAACCACCATCCCCCTGCCTTGGATCCTCATACTCATTTTACAATTATGGTCTTATATAGCATTTGTCCTTGTAGAACTGAGTTAGTTTACTCAGCATAATGCTTTCCAGTCCTTCCCAAGTTATGTAGTAATGTACAAAATCATTGCTCCTGCATGCTGCACTGTGCTGTTCATTGTTCTACAATCCCCCTGGCCCCCAGTCCACTTTACTATGCAGCTCTTATTTTGGACTGTTGTTATGCAAATAATAACTAATCATATATTCCTTTTAAGTAGTTATATTTTACATCTGCTTCAATGCAGTGTACATTATATTCCCCCTCTTCTTAGTTTCCCCTTAACCTCCATGTCAGTCCTATTTTATACCAGTGGCATTATGCAGTATTTGTCCTTTCATGACTGAGATATTTCATGCAGCATGTCTTCCAGGATCACCCATTTTGTATAGTATTTCATGAGTTTCTTGTTTTTCAGTGCTGCATATTATACCATTGTGTGAATATACCACAGCTTCTCTATCCATTCGTTTGTTGTTGGGCATTTAGGTTTTTTCCATCTCTTTGTTATTGTGGACAATGCAGCAATAAAGATGGGTGTGCACACATCTGCTTGGGTGACGGTTCTGGCTTCTTTTGGGTATATTTCCAGTAGTAGAATTGCTGGGTCAAATGGTATTTCTATTTCCAACTTTTTGAGAAGCACCACATTGCTTTCCAGAATGGTTGTACCATTTTACACTTCCACCAACAGTGAATAAGGGTTCCAGTTTCTCCACAACCTGACTAGCATTTGTTGTTTGCTGCTCTGTTGAATTTTGTTAATGTTCATGGGGTTAGATGATATCTCACAGTTGTTTTGACATGTATGTTTCTTAAATGGTTTAGAAGATACAAATATTTGTTTTTCCTTTTGGTGAGTGAAGATAACCATAATATTAAAAACCTATGAAAGGTGATTTTCAATAAGTTGTCTAATTTAATTATTATAACCCACTGAAGGCAGGATTTTACTTCCAATTTACTAGGTAGCCAGCATATAGATTAAGAATCTTGACAAACTTAAATAATGAATGGAGAAGCTTAGATCTGTCTGTCTCCAATCTTCTTTTCTCCTTACTTGCAACCATATCTGAACTAATTTATAATAATCTATACAAAATAGAGCAGTCACAAAAATGTAAGCTAATGAAAATGATAGTGCTTTATCCAGAATCAATGAACTTCAACATAATGATTCTTTTTTGTAAATTTGCCATATAAGTCTTCATCTATTTTTTCAATAATATTTAAATAAAATCTCTCAATACATTTACCTTAGCATTTAGTGGTAAAATTATCACTCCTGGCAAGCAATGCATCCTATCAAATTATTCCCTGTTGCTTTAAAGAATATTTTAGAATTGTGTCTTTAGTTTATTTCACCTCATTTTCTTAGCCCAACTTCTTTTCTATTAATTCATTATTCTTTTCTTTCTTATTACTTACCACTTTACCCCCTAATTAAAAACCTCAGTAGATCTTTTAAAAGACAATTCACTTTATTTTTTAAAAGGCTATATAATTAAAACAATGACTCAATTCTGGGACCTTCCTTTTAAAAAAGTCAATGAACAAAAGATACAGAAGTATTTTAAAATCATATTA